GAACAACCAAAAATATTAAGGTATACAATAAGATTAAGAGGTGCAATTATCTTAGGGATAAAAAAATTTATTTTTAACGAGCCTAAATCGCAAATATTGCTGTCAGAGCTTGAGCGCGCAGTGTTCAGGTGGACCGGTTGTGGTTTTTTAGGTGTGCTTACGATGGGGGAAAAGGGAGGTGATAGGGAGACGCGCCTATCACAGAAAATCGCAGCCATACGGGAAAAGAATTGTTATCTGGAAAAAAGATATAAGGAAATAGAAAATGATAAACTGTTAGCAGTAAAATGTGGCATGATTTTAACCCCAGAACAAAATAGATATGTATGCAGAATTAGTTTTTACTATTTTATTAAGGTTATAGGTCCACCACCATCTGCTATTTCTAAAAATCCGGTCCACTTTTTGGCTAGAAAGAACAAGAAGGAGGTATGTATTTTATGCTATTAATCTTACTTCTCCTTACTATGTATATTTATGCTATCTATTTCCTATCACTTTATCTAAAGTTTTACTTGAGTTATTTCTTTTTAAACTCTTAAAGGTAATTCTATTGCTAAGTATGTTCTCTCTGTATCATTATCTTATTTATTCTTATTAGGTCGATCTTACCTGCTTATGTTGACACCATATCTCTTATACGTAAATCCTTTTTTACATTACTTGTTCCACAGCTTACAATTACGCGTGATTTTCTGCTTATACACCGTGTTTTAAGTTTATTCTCCCGGATGCTTCTGGTTCCCTAAACATAACTAAGAAAAGCTGATGTACTCATTTCATCATTTTCATTACTTTGTGATTAAAATAACATTTATTTGAGCTCATATAAATCTGTGCGTTTGATGTTTTTGAAAATTTCTAACTAAGTCGAGTATTTAAAAATAATATTATCTACTTATTTTAAATATCTAGCTATACACAATCCATAATTTTATTTCCACCAAATTAGATTGTCTTATAAGTGAAATGCTTTTTGGTTATCTTTAAAAGTCAACCTAGTTAGATTATTATTTCTCAACATTTATACTTAAAGAGTAGCTGGGTTTCGATAAAAATGTTAAGGAAGATCTTCGTTTCTAATGAATTATGAAGAGATTATTTGGTTGATCGCTCCAGACAACGCCAGCCATTTCCGTTGTTATGCAGCCACTTAGATTCACTACGACGTTCAGGTTGACGCAGTCCGCGGGATATCCTTCCTTGTTTCGAGTTGAACCTCACAAATCTTTCGTTTGTTATATAAATGACACCATTAGAGCTGTAACTCATTCTTGCTAAAGTGTTAATTTAGTTTTAAGTCAAGAACACTATCTGGATCTATCATATATTTTTATATAAACTAAATTAAAAGCGAAAATATATAGCTATATAATAAGTTGGATAGTTCTCTAATACTAATTGGGATACTTTTATTTATGTGTTAGTGTGCGCTTGTGCTGACGCATGTATGCATAATTAATTTCTATTCATATCAGAAAAATTTGTGTGAACGAGTTGCTTAAGGATACGGTAGGTGCTCCTTACTTTTCCGGTAAATATTTGCAATTATTTAATGTTCAGTAATATAAGATTAAGCATTTTTTGCGTGCATATTTTGTTCTCCACTCGTCTAGTTTGTACTTTATTACACAGATGCTCCGTATTTTCAGAATATATCTTTTTAATAAAAATTATTTTAATTAGTATCTACATACCTTTGTTATGCTCATAATATTTTTGATCAATTTGCTTTTTATTATAAAGCTTACATTATCTTCAATACATATTCCGGCGGCAGAATAATTAGATTTATACTGATATTCCAAACATATGATCTAGACACAAAATTAATTTCAACATGTGTCTTGAAAACATCAGTGACTTTGTCGCTTAAGGCGATTTAAGGGTAATAGTTAAATTTTTACCATAGGCGTATTGAAGCCCACATAAATCATTGTGATCTAGGTTGAGTAAGTTCATATTAAATTATTTTTTATTGCGAGCACCATTGCTCCCATTTGATGTGTTATGTTAAAATGTTGATAGAATAAAAGTTTATGATGAATATCTCTTTTTTTACACGTTGATAGAAAATTCTAGCATTAGTTTCAAACACTTAGATCCAATCACAGTGAATTTCGCGTCGTGCCTAATATAACATCTCTACCACACACCAGATCTTTGTTCATAATCCATCACAAACATAAGATATCCACTAGTTTAATAATTTATCCAAGCTAGGTGTAAATGTACCTCAAGAGTAACATTTCATTAAAAAACGAATTGGTATTGGAATAAAACCATAAATTTTGTATCCTTTCAAGTAACGATAAAGCTCTTGTATTTAAAACATTTTCTACAAATGTGAATGATTCAAATCTAATTTTTCATGCATTTTTAGCATTTTTCTTCAATATACTTTTTAAATTAGCTTAAGGAATGAATGTCTTGTATACACTGTTTAAAGTAGCATGATATACGATCCCATTCCTCCCGTTTTTTATTCCAAATACTTTATAAATCTATATGAATTCTTCATTAATTACATATCAATTGGCCTTCTTTTCGAATGCAAGGTTAGATTAAATGGATTTTTTTATTTTCCCAAATGGAAACGGGAAGATTGCCTTGCAATTGTGAATGCCTATTTTAGTTAAGAAGTTTAATTTTGGCTTTTATAACTCAGTTTACTTAACCACTACATGGATATAACACACATCACTCAGGATTATAGTCATTTTGTGTTACATATATTACCCATGTAGGTTAAACTATTAATATATTGGTTATAGGAAAAAGCTTAGCTGGCAGCTGTCAATGAGTACTGGCTTGGTAAATTTTATCAAAGAATGGTTTCGGGCTCTATATCTTTCGCATGGATGGCGAAAGTACAGCTTTATCAATGCCACCTGTTGGTGTTTATAATGAAAGTTAAAGTCTTCGGTACGCTATCCTACAGTTTGGGTGACTGTTTTGAACTTATTATGACTTAGGAAGAGCATCTTCATAATCCGCGTCCGCTGTTGGGAGTTTCTCGGATGCATTGAGTTGCCAATGATCACCATCGATGACTGGACCTAATATTTGGTGATTACGCAAAGTCTAGTTCTTCTGCCGTAAAATGTGATTTCGTGTTTTAAATCTCAATCTAAGGCACTTATCTGATCTAGTCTAATCCCGACCGGCCGAAAATGCAGGCTACGATGCCAGTTATAAGTTCAGCTTGTTTTCTCTCTGATACATGGTGTCTTCAGATGGATGTGCTGTTGTGTGCATACGCAACACTTGCTCGTGGTTAGTGCCACAGCTAATGGTACAGTAAACTGCCCGCTCCATTAGACTGCACCTACTCGGAAGTGCGACAAATCTGCCCACCAGTCAACGTGTCTCAGGCCGTGATTCAAAGTCCGGTTGTTAATTTGTACTTGTGCCAAGCCTCGGTCAGTCAGCATCGGGTCAACTCGTCACCACGCCAACCAACTACAACCTGCTGCTGGCACTTTTTATCTGACCTTAATTACGCCAATCTCGAAGACCGAACTCATCTCTCTTTCTGTCCAGTTTTTACCGTTCTCTGCTTTTCACACGACTCAATATCACATTGCCTACTGACACAGCTGCAGCCGAATCTGTGTATTCAATATAAATCGTCTTGATGGCTATTTTACATGGTAGTAGTTGATAATCGTAAAGAGGAAGGACATTAAATTCCGGATCCAGAATACTTTTATTGACATTGCAGGCCGTGGGATTTCTGTACTGGAGCTGCCTCTTCAGGCTGCTTACGAGGGACACTGGTTGTGGACAAGATCAACCTTTTGACAACTAGGTTCTACTGGATTTACGATTGTGAACTGATGTTGTCTGTGGCACTCGCCTCAGAGGGGCTACAATCTCAGTGCCGCTTTCATTCGCAGTTAGCGCCTCAGCTTTTATTTGTGTGTAGACAGACCTCTCTCAGATATCTATGGCATAGGATCAGGACTTAATGACTGCATCACAATTATGTGATTTTTATTTCACACCCTTGCTTGCGCGACACACTACCGCTGCGCTGGCACGAGGGCAGTTTACAACAGAGCATTTCACGCAAGGATGTTTGCTAATGGGAATGTGAAAACAATTTATACGAGCTTTCATAGATATCAGAGCCCAGGATGGTATAGCCTTAGGTTTAGATGTAGTTTCCCTTGAACATATTGAGTTAGCATGGCCTCGACTTAGGTACTTAGGTGGGGCGATAGAGAAACCTCTGCAAGAGGTATCAGGATAATTCCCGGCGTTAGACCGTTGACTTGGTACATTTCTAAACATTTCACTGACATCATTAACAAGAGACGCCAGCCTTAGCATCGAGTTACAATTCGTCACTGGCAAGGGAAGAATCAACTTTCTCTTAAAATAGTGTAGGATCCTTCTTCCCCTCCTTTTCGTCCAGACTCCTAGTGCCGCATTCTTTTCTTTCGCTCCTACTTCATATGACCAAGTTTCCAATCAACTTTCTTATTTCAAGTGGGTTTACTGAGTGGTGCTCGCCATCACCACCGGTTTCGCATCCTGTCTACGGGGCTTCTTGATCTCAATTGCTTGGTGCCGTATGCAACGGGTTGGTTATAATCCCTCAATACCGTCCACCATGTACGGACTTACTCCATATGACCTACTCCAAATGTATGATGGAATGTGCATGCATAAAACGTAATTCTCACTCGTTTGACCATTTTAAGTAGCCTTAGCTTCGGAACTCCGGTCATTCATTTATTACGGTCCTCACATTTCCTACGGCTCCTAGGTCCGGTCTCCTTTGGGTTTGTTAGTGTGCATATCTACGGATTCATTCGTCCACTCCTGCTTCAAGTACAACATTACCCTTGCTCTTATGCTATTAGTTCATATACCACTTCGGTCAGATATCATTTTAGGGCTTCGCTTCAATCAGTTCCAAGTGTGCATATGGGCTAGTTTATGTCATGGTCAACTGGTATAATGTAACCAGTGTGCTTGGGGCCTCAGCCTTTGCTGCAACGCTCAAGTGGGCTTGAAGTACTTCTAGATCCTCACATTTTACACGCCTATGATAGCCTACTAATATGCTTGTAACCCTTCCTATCTGCGTTTCCAGGTGGACTACCTTACGTTCAATTTATTGCAGCTCCTTACCATACTCTCTCTCCTGACTTCCATTTATCCCTCAAGATCCTATTGCTACGATGCCGTTTCCTGCTGTTCGAGTTATCACCTTCAATCAATCGTCTCCTTTTGGCTGTTCTTGCTAAATCCCCACCTCCAATTTTGCTAGATTTTTACTGAATTCTCTTCCTCAATCTCTCTCTTCATTATGTTCCTTTAAGAGAAGACGTCTACAGATTCCCTGATTTTCCATTTTAAAAATATTTTCTCATCATACATGCCAGTCTTTCTGTTGCATTCCAATCTATGACGTGGCCGATTGGCACAATATGTTCGGCTATCATCGGTCCTTCTCTCTCCACTATTTTGCTAAGTCTCTGGTGCTCTTTAGCCCTTGCGCTGATTATCCCTACCGTCTCCTCAGTATACTTTTGTTCACAGTCCTTCCATAGCAATCTATTTTGTTAATTTCTTCTTTGTTAAGTAGGTAAGCTTGTTAAGGGCGTTATATTTCCTTTCAGGATCGTGCAAATATTACATTAACTTTGTATGACGTATATTGAAGCATTATAACTATCCGGTTGGCTAGGATACGAGGAAATAGTCGACAAAAGTTGAGAGGGCTACATACCAGGAAGAGATTACAACAAATGAAGATATCGAGAGGTTCATATAGAAAACTTGGCTATATGAAGCAGGATTAAAGGAGGAGGATAGAGCTTGTTGCCTCACTTCTTCGGCAACGTTTTTCCTGCCTGTGAATTTTATACTGATTACACCCGTCTAAGTTAAAAGGGTTTCCTCTGGATTCCATATTTGTGTGATGCTATCCATAATGATTCCTTTAGGTTGGCTTTACCTACTGCTTTGATTACTTTGGCCGGCGTCTGGCTTTTAGCCCTCCTGTTCTTTGTTCCATTGTCTCCTTTTTGACTTCGAATGATGTGAATGGGAGTTCTGATGTTGAATTTTACGGTTGGCTTAACTACTTCAAGGGCTTCATCTCTACAGACAATAAGGAATGGATTATTTAAACTGATTTAGGTCGAATAATTCATTATTTTATTTATATTCATGTTTTTAAGATAGACCCTGACATCCTGTATCCTTTGGACACTCCAAAGGCAGTGTTGCTGGCTAAGCATTGCCAGAGAAAATACTTATCACAGTCCGTTGGTACATGAGGCGCCAGTCATCAGTGTTATCATGTCGATGCAGTATTGCAGATACAAAGAGTAACTGGGTTTCGATGAATCTCTTAAGACAATATAGTTGGCGATAATTTCATTTCCTATGAAAGTTCACGATCTCACTAGAATTCAACGGCTGATTCCCGTTGACCTGCAGCCGTTTGGTCTCAAGTTGTTATTATTTTAGGTATGCAAGAGTTGGTCGGTCTTGATTTAGTCTTAACTCTAGACTTTTACAAAATGAGTTCCAGCTCTTATAATGCCCATCATATGATGAACGAAAGCTCAGCTCGTTTTTATCCGAAAAGAGAGAGGATGTCCTGTGGACTGCGTCAACCTAAAAGTCGTAATAGAGCCATCTGGCTGCAGTACAACAGGAATCAGTCGTCCTCCTCTTGTTAGATCAACCTACAAATCTCTTCCTTATGAACTTTGATACGAAATAAAAGTATCCACAACAAGATGCATCTTAGAGAAAGCCTGAGAATGATCGCGATTTTGGAAGAAAACGGTTGCGTCGAGATCAAATGTCTTTCGACCAGATGTGTTACTTTCTGCTGATTTCTGGCTTCAAATGTCTGGCGAGCAGAAGAGATGGATGTGTATGTGTCTGAGTTTT